CTGACCGAGGGGGAGCATGACTTCCCTGGATCTAGACACTGGACTCCTATTTATACAGGCCAAAATCCCATTTTTTAAACTGCTTTTTAAACTGCTGCATCATGTTGTTGCTCATGCTTAACTTGTCCACGAGGAGAGTTGAGAAAATGCAGAGAAGAGTACTTACTTACTTACTTACATAGGCGATCCCTCGTTGGCCGAGTAGGATAGTCTTCCAGGATCAGTATTCTTGTGGGTCCGTAGGTGGCTGTGGAGCCCTATTCTTGACCTGCATCTTCTCCCGCAGTGAGGGCATTGGTTTCCAGGTGGAAGGCGGTCTCGGTCAGGATTGGCTTGATGCGCCTTCCTCTTGGCACGTTTCTCTCTTTCACCCTGCATTCGTGCCTCTTCAAATTTTGCAGCACTGCTGGTCACAGCTGACCTCCAGCTGGAGCGCTCAAGGGCCAGGGCTTCCCAGTTCTCAGTGTCTATGCCAGAATTTTAAGGTTGGTTTTGAGCCCATCTTTAAATCTCTTTTTCTGCCCGCCAACATTTCAATTTCCGTTCTTGAGTTTGGAGTAGAGCAACTGCTTTGGGAGATGGTGGTCGGGCATCCGGACAACGTGACCGGTCCAGCAGAGTTGATGGTGGAGGACCATCACTTCAATGCTGGTAGTCCTTGCTTCTTCCAGCATGCTGCCATTTGTCCGCCTGTCTTCCCAAGAGATTTGCAGGATTTTCCGGAGGCGGCACTGATGGAATCGTTCCAGGAGTTGCATGTGACGTCTGTAGACAGTCCATGTCTCGCAGGCATATAGCAGGGTACAAAATAGGAAATCTTGGTCAATTTGACTGTGGCAATAGAAGCATTGCAATTATTAGTTATGTAGTTGTGTAACCCTTCCTCTTGATGTTTGTTGTTATCTGGGCCTTACTGGATGCATTTGGTAATCTGTTTCCTTTTGCTGCAAGGTAAAACACGTCTTCCCTCTCTAGGGAGCCTAACTAATGTGGCAAATGGACTCAGTTGGCATCTCAAGATTTCTGTTATGATTCTGGCTTCGGTTACAATTGTTTTCACTGCAATGTTTTTCTTGAAGGAAATAATTTAATACTACAGTATGAGATTTTGGTTAATTGCTTGTTTTCACTACATCATTTTTCATTAGAGCACTGCAGCATAAATTAGAACCTGGCGCCATTGCCTTGACTTCTGTTCTGGGTATTTTATTCCTAATTCCTAATTACTATTGACCATTTGCTTTTATAAACATCATGCGATGTGGTGCACTTGTGTCTGTTCTGCATTCTGTCATTCAAGACTGGTAAAACAGGTTCATCATGCATTACCAGTAATCCCCCCCCCGTGGAAAGCATTCCTATGCATAGACAGCTAATATATTGTAGAGAGAGAACAGTCTAGACTAAGAACCACCTCCTGGCATGCTGTTGTTATATCTGGCTTCTATTCGGTTATGGATGGCCAGTCATGTACATGAGCCTAAAGTGGTACAATCCAAAATGGAAGATTTTTCTTGTCTTTGTTAGGACTCTGATCTTGACTTGTATATTTCTTAAGTAATGAGAGGGGAAAATAGATGGCAAAACATGCTTTAGAACAGTGGTTCTCAACCTTTCTAATGCCGTGACCCCTAAATACAGTTTCTCACATTGTGGTGACGCCCCCCCCCCCCCACCATAAAATTATTTTTGTTGCTACTTCATAACTGTAATTTTGCTGCTGTTATGAATCATTATGTAAATAACTGATATGCAGGATGTATCTTCATCATTACAAATTGAACATAATTAAAACATAGAGATTAATCACCAAAACAATATGGCCTGGCAAAAGCCAGGCGAGCGAGGCAGCACCGCATGGTCTGGCCTCACATTTTGCCTCTTGTCCTGGTCACGCCAGGCGGCAAAAAACAGACAACACAGGCAGCACTGCGCAGCCTGGTGGAGGGGGCGAGGCCAATGGATATGGTGCCACGACCCCTCCGAAATGGCCCGGTGACCCCTCTGGGGGTCGCATCCCAGGTTGAGAACTGCTGCTTTAGAACATTTGAAGCAGTCAACTGAGTTAAACGAATGGTGTCACTGGCTAAAAGCAAAATGTATGGTCAATTTATTACATACCAATTGAATGTTTGAGTCGGGAACAGCGACAGACACCTTGTAAACATTCACAGGGATGGAAAAAGAACTATTTTTGTTATTAACAGGCTATATGGGTCCCTGGTGGCATAGCGGGTTAAACTGCTGAGCTGCTGAACTTGCTGACTGAAAGGTTGGCAGTTCAAATCCGAGGAGCGGGGTGAGCTCCTACTGTTAGCCCCAGTCCTGCCAACCTAGCAGTTCAAAAACATGCAAATGTGAGTAGATCAATAGGTAACGCTTCGGTGGGAAGGTAATGGCCCTCCATGCAATCATGCTGGCCACATGAGCTTGGAGGCACTACGGACAATGCTGGCTCTTTGGCTTAGAAATGGAGTTCTGAGAGTGCCTTGGACAGCGAGAAGATCCAACCAGTCCATACTTCAAGAAATAAAGCCTGACTGCTCATTGGAGGGAAGGATAGTAGTGGCCAAGATGAAGTACTTTGGCCACATCATGAGAAGAAAGGAAAGCTTAGAGAAGACAATTATGCTGGGGAAAATGGAAGGAAAAAGGAAGAGGGGCCGACCAAGGGCAAGATGGATGGATGGGATCCTTGAAGTGACTGGATTGACCTTGAAGGAGCTGGGGGTGGTGACGGCCGACAGGGAGCTCTGGCAGGGACTGGTCCATGAAGTCACGAAGAGTCGGAAACGACTGAACGAATGAACAACAACAAAACCACTCGCCACTTGTTGCTTTTACATGTATTGCTTTCAAACTTTGCAATTCTTCTCTTGCAAATGTCTTCATATTAGAAATATGAAAACATCAGATTCTTCATTTACTTTGCAAGTTGTTGCCCTGACATTACAATCACTTGTGAAATCAGTTTTATGCCAAATTTTGAAAACATTTCTGGTTTATTTGGATACTGCAAGATTCAGGGCATGCACAGAGTGGCATGCTATTCCACTGAAGCAGCTGTGGTTCATTGGGAAAGTCCTCTTCTATTTTCAGCTTAGCTGTGAAGCTTTTTGGTAGCTTTTAGTAAGATGCCAAATCTAGACCAGGTCTCATTTAATTCCTTTTGGATTCTATTTCAACAGTAAAACAAGAACAGAAATACTCTTTGTCCTAGAGTGATGTGCTTTGCATTGGAATTGGCTGTTCATTATATAAAATCGTAGCAAAACCCACTTAAATGCATTCTTTGATATATTTGCAAGTTTCCTCTTTGTCTTCAGTCTAGGAAGGTTGATGAATGCAGCTATTTCTTATGATTTTGATACTTCAAAAGTACTACACTGCTTGTTTGGTATAGCAAATGTCAATACCCAATATTGTTAACTATTTTTTTGTCAATTTTGTTGTGTACCTTGCAGTAACTTAAGGTGACCACATGCATTTTACAGGGTATTCTTAGTTAGGGAATACTCAAGTGGTGATTTTTAAAGTTCCTTGCTCTGAAATATCGTGTACAGCACCTATTATTCATTGGCAGTATCCCATCCAAAGTATTAACTAGGGTTGATCTTGTTTAGCTTCCAAGATCAGATGGGATTTGATGGCTTTTGAGTTTTTAGGTATGCTGACATGTATGCAATTGCACAGTTTGTAGCCATTAACTCTTATTATTTCTTATAACATGGAGGCAGTTTAAAGCCAAGAATAAAACAGGCTTACTTACTTACTTAGGCAATCCCTCATTGGACGAGTAGGATAGTCTTCCATGATCTGTATTCTTGTGGATCCATAAGTGGCTGTGGACCCCTATTCTTGATCTGCATCTTCTCCCGCAGTGAGGGCATTGGTTTCCAGGTGGAAGGCGGTCTCGGTCAGGGTTGGCTTGATGCGCCTCCCTCCTGGCACACTTCACTCTTTCACCCTCCATTCGTGCCTCTTCAAATTCTGCAGCACTGCTGGTCACAGCTGACCTCCAGCTGGAGCGCTCAAGGGCCAGGGCTTCCCAGTTCTCAGTGTCTATGCCAGAGATTTTAAGGCTGGCTTTGAGCCCATCTTTAAATCTCTTTTCCTGCCCACCTACATTCCATTTTCTGTTCTTGAGTTCGGAGTAGAGCAACTGCTTTGGGAGATGGTGGTCGGGCATCCGGACAACGTGGTCGGTCCAGCGGAGTTGATGGCGGAGGACCATCGCTTCAATGCTGGTGGTCTTTGCTTCTTCCAGCACACTGACGTTTGTCCGCCTGTCTTCCCAAGAGATTTACAGGATTTTCCGGAGGCAGCGCTGACAGAATCGTTCCAGGAGTTGCATGTGATGTCTGTAGACAGTCCACGTTTCGCAGGCATAGAGCAGGATTGGGAGGACCATGGCTTTATAGACAAATAAAACAGGCACAAGTGATATGTTTAAGGTGTCTCATTCATTGAATGCATTTCTTTATTGAATCACAACAAATTGAATTGATCTGCAAATACAACAATGACACAATATATTTATAGAGTGATTCTTACAGATTTTTTTTCAAACATCCAAGTTTATTTGGGAAGGAAAAAAGACCATAGAAGCATTGATACTTTCTAGTTCTTTTTGTTTTAACTGTACCTACACATTCGTGGTTTTGGATTGAAACTTACTTGAAACATCCCAGGTTTTCCTCACTCCGGCCACCCTTGTGTCCTTCCTATTCCCCTTGCTACTGATCATGCGCTGTTGGAGGAAGCAACCTTCTCAAGCCTCTTCTGTATTTGATGTTTGTCTGTTTTGAAATATGTCGTTTTGTATCCTGAAGTGTCTTATTTGTAGTTTGCAGTTACCTCATCTCCATTGAGCTCTTTTGAAATATTATCCCGGAGTTTGTTTATACGTTAAGCATTGGGAAAGGCTTAAAGGCTTCTGAAAAGGAAACAGGTATTTGATATGTTGAAAATGGTGTAAGGGTTCTTTTTCTCGTTTTCAGGGAACTTCTGGACATGACCTGCCGCCTCGCAAACACTTTAAAGAAAAATGGAATCACAAAAGGAGATCGAGTCGCTATCTATATGCCAATGTCTCCAATAGCAGTGGCTGCAATGTTGGCATGTGCCAGAATTGGTGCTGTCCACACAGTTGTCTTTGCTGGGTTCAGTGCAGAATCTCTAGCAGGGCGGATCAATGACTGTGAGTAATTTTCAAAGGTTGTGAAAGGGGTGGGGGAAAACACTTGTATTTACATATATACGTGATTAAATATCTTGGCAATAGCACAAAGGCTACACATGACATTCATTTATGTTTCATAGACACATAGCATAAAGACCACATAGCATAAAGACAAATTTTCCCACAGTATTTATGAAAACTAAACTATCAGAAAACAAAAATATCTCAGTTGTTCTAGGTTTTTTTGGGCTATATGGCCATGTTCTAGAGGCCTCTAGAACATGGCCATATAGCCCAAAAAAAACCCAACAACAACCCAGTGATTCCGGCCATGAAAGCCTTTGACAATACAACAAAAATATCATTATCTCAGCCACCCATTGGACTATTTTAAAGTTTGGAATATTTCAAATTGCAGAAATCCAGATAAGTAACTCTCCAGAGAATTAACTCCAGATAATTACAGTAACACACTGTAATTCTGTTTCTGAGATAATAGTAATATGGGTTTCTAAAGATTTTTTCCTTTCTTCAGGGCATCTAGAGGTCTGCAAAGCAATATTTATGGATCAGTTGCTGTAACGGATAAACACAGCTCTACTCTTCTAGGTAGTACGAGGGTTGAATGAAAAGTAATGCCTCCTCCTTCGTTTGGATGGGAATATTTTAATCAAATGCATAAATAATCCTTAGAATGTGCTCTTTAACTATCATTATTCACTTTGCCACATAATCACCAGACAATTGGATACATTTCTGCCAACGATGAACAAGTTTTCTGAAGTTGTCACGGAAGAAGTCGACACTCTGTTTTGGGTACCCATTGTGCACAGATCTTCCGATAGCCAAGCCAAGCAATAATGTGACCCACACGTTCTTGTGAAATGCCGATTATGCTTGAAATGTCTCTCTGAGTGATACGACGATCGTCCTGAATCAATCTGTCAACCTTTTGTTTGTGAAACTTGGTGGTTGCTGTCATAGGACGTCAAACTCTTTGTTTGTCATGCAAGTCAGATGTTCCCACCTCAACATCTTTAAACTTACCCAACGATGCACAGTACTCACATCAATACAATCACTATAGACAGCTTGCATTCTCTGATGAATCTCCTTTGGGGTGACACCTTCTACTGTCAAGAATGCAATGACTGCACGTTGCTTAAGTCGCATTGACCGACCATCTGCAGGGTTCCATACTTTGCACTTTAACAACACAACTGTTCAATGCTAAGGCTTCCTGACAAAATGGAACTGTAGAGGAGAGTCTACTGAACAAGCCAGTACCTGCCACATACCAGTACCGCCGTCTGTTGAGGAGTTAGGAAGAATTCCTTTTCATTCAACCCTCGTAAATAGCTGGCTTTATCAACTCACAATATTAAAAGCTGTTTACATCGTGACTCACAATAGTGTATATATATATGGTAACTCCATAATTGCTTCTCTTGTTAGCTGAATGCAAAGCAGTCATCACATGTAACCAGGGCCTGAGGGGAGGACGGATCATAGAACTGAAGAAGACTGTGGATGAAGCGGTACAAAAATGTCCAAGCATCAAGTGTGTCTTTGTGGCTCAAAGAACTGCCAACAAGATCCACACGAGAAATCAAGATGTTCTCCTTGAAGAAGTATGTTCATGATGTTTGATGTACTTATTTTAATCAGGTATTCCCATAGGGCATTTATTCTCTTATTTCAGTGAACAATATGGTTTTGTATAGAACATATGAACTAGCTGAACTTAAATGTATGGCAAAGGCTAAACTGAAAGTTGGAATGGGATCATCAGTTTAGAAAGGAGGCTTCTGGAATCTTGCTTTTTTACTAATACTGTGGGATCCCAGAACTATTTTTTGTTTGAAATGTAACAACACTTAGCACTGAAGAGTGAAGAGTGACTCACAGTGGGCAGTAGTAATAGGTTGCTGTAAGTCTTTTGGAAGATCACTACAGACGCAGACTGCAACCAGGAAATCAGGAGACACTTACTTCTTGGGAGAAGAGCAATGTCCAATCTTGATAAAATATTGAAGTGTAGAGACATCACCCTGGCAATAAAGATCTGCATAGTT